GTCAGCCTCTCTGCTCCTATGATGCTGCTTGGCCTGCTGTGTTCATCCAGCCCTGCACCTTGTTGTCTCGGATTCTCCAGCATCTGCAGTTCCTACTATCTCTGATTCAATTTTAACCCCACTGCGAAGCATCTTCTAAGGATGCCTAACCTGAAGAAGTTACCCTCCTCCCTCAGGACAAACCTCAAGGGATCTCTCTCCCACTGCAACTCTCTCCGCACCTCCATCTCCTACCGACCAACCTCATCCCGCCCCCTTGACCTGTCCGTCCTCCCTGGACTGATCTATCCCCTTCCTAACTCCCTACCTACACTCACCTTTACTGGCTCCATCCCCGCCTCTTCAACCTGTTTGTTTCCTCTCCACCTATCCTCTCCTCTATCCCTCTTCTATCCGCCTCCCACTCTATCCCTATTTATTTCAAAACCCCCTTCCCCTCCCCCTTTTCTGATGAAGGGTCTAGGCCCGAAACGTCAGCCTCTCTGCTCCTATGATGCTGCTTGGCCTGCTGTGTTCATCCAGCCCTGCACCTTGTTGTCTCTAACTTGTACATAGTTGTTATTTTGCAAAAAAACTTCATCATACTTAATGAAAGAGTCTCTTCTCGTTAGACTACTAAGTGGTTATCCTCTACCACATTAGACCAAGCAGATTCTGTAGATCCCTACCAGGAAAGACAAGGATAGCAACAAATCTACTGGATGGATCTTACACCATGATGAGCTGTGGTGAGATTCCATCAAACTACTGTAACTGGCAGGAGGCCAGCTGATCCCAACATTCCATACCCATCCTCTCATAGCCCCCAGATTGCACTTGGTCTCAGCTACTTCTGGGAGCTCTCTGGTTAAACATTCATCCATCCCTTACAAATCATCCAAAGCCTAAGTAGAGGAGATTTTCCTCGCCAATTGTCTCTTCCTGCTCCTGAGGCTAAAACAGGAGCTGAGTGTCAGAATCCAGCTTATCAAATAAGTAGCAGTGTATTGGCCTCCAAAAGACTGGAGTTAGGCGATAGATATCAAAAGAATTAAAATAGTTTTAAAATCAATTTCACAGCTCACCTCATTGAGACTGTACAGTCTGCACAACTGGAACTACCACCTGGTTGGGTCTCACACAATGCGGAATATATAAAAGGGCAGAAAAAAGGTCCTGTAATTCCATAGCATTGTCAATCCATTTGTTTCATTCTGCTGTTAGTGAACTTCCTATAGCAACAGGACACATAGTGCACACAATGCTGAAAGATAAATTTAGTTAAGCAAAGGTATTAAAGGATGTGGGAAAAAGGCAGGTATATGGAAGTTAGGCCACAGATCAGCCATGATCTCGCTGAATGATGGAATAGGCTCAAGGGGCTAAACTCCTGTTCCTATGTAAGTGTTTCTCAACAAAACTCTGCACAAACAATTCCTTCCCTGTGTGTTGTAGTTGGTGACTGTGCACTTAAGGTCTTCAAATGATATTTTATATGATATCAACTTCCAATACCACTTTCATGTAAGGTTTTAAAATCTTTATTCATTTTATGCCATACCATTTACTTCTCCAATGATTTATTATTATTATATTTACAGTGTAGTAAGGAATAATTCAAATTTAAATTTTGGAACAGTGCATTCCAGTGTATGATTTGGGGGGAAAGAAATCTTGCAGTGCACCTGATGTTTATGGGTAAGCCATAATTCTCCATTTGAAATTCTGTTTATGTAAAAGTGGAGTTATGGGGAGTTTCAAGTTCAAATAATAGACTCATAGCTAAAGTTCAATTCAAAGGATGGATACATAGGCTGGGTGTTGGTTTCAAATGGCACCTGTAGAACAGTTTTCCAGCTTCTGTATGTTGAGGGCAAAGAAGGAAAACATGGAGGAGGCAGAAGGGGTGATAGGCAGAGGGTCATTTTGGACTTACAGCTAATTCAAAGTAACTACAAGTAATCCACCACAGTTGTATGATGACGATCAGGGTATAAAATCTCTGTCCCTATTACCTCACTGAAATGCTGCACTGCTATTTGCCTGATACTCTCCACATTACAGTTATTGACATTTGCTCACTTTGACTGCCTTTGTTTTGTTCTCAGGTGTGGGTTTATGCTGCTGTCCAGGTCTTTAATTCCATTGGCATTGGCTTTGGCTCATTAATTTCCATGTCAAGTTACAACAAGCCTGACAACAATATTCTTAGGTAGTTTTGTTTATTTTTGCCTTGAAATATAATTAAGTATTAGCATAACTTGACCAGTGTAGCTAATCCAAATTACTGCATTGGTTAACTTTCCTTATTATTAATTTATATTTGTTTTATAAATGGTGGACTGGCAGTTGCAGTGTTGGGATACATGGAGCTGAATGTCTATGGGGATTTTCTCACTTGGTTGTAATGTGCAGAACAGCCATAGAAACTGCATTTAAAAACAATCCAATGTTACAACAGAGTAAAAATGAAGTGGGTTCTATGAATAGTGGAGATAGTAAGAACTGCCAATGCTGGAGTCAGAGGACACAGTGTGGAGTTGGAGGAGCACAGCAGGCCAGGAAAGTTGACGTTTTGGGTCGGGACCCTTCTTCAGAAACGGTTCATTTGAATAGGTCATTCTTCACTTCTGAAGTTAATGAAATGTTAACTTTCCTGCCCCTCTGATGCTGCCTGGCCTGCTGTACTCCTCCAGCTCCACACTGTGTAATCTATAAATCCCACAAGATTGCCATCTAGGTCATGAAAGTGAAATTTTATTCCAAGGCAGGCTCACTTTCAGAAACTTTTAATACATGAAATTGCAATGGAGGGAAAGCAATGGCCTAGTGGCATAATCACTACACTATTAATCCATAGACCCAGGTAGTTTCTGAGGACCTGGGTTCAAATCCTGTTGTGACAGATGATAGAATTTTATTTCAATAAAAATATGAAATGAAAAGTCTAATTATGACCATGAAAGCATTGTCATTGTCAATTAAAACACATCTCGTTCATTAATATCTTTTAAGCATTGAAACTCACATCCGTACCTGATCTGGCCTACATGTGACTCCAGAACCACAGGGATGTGGTTGACTTGTGACTGCCGACTGGATAATTAGGAATGGCCAACAAATGATGGTCTAGCCAAAGATTAAATTGGTCACACTTCACAATGGTGATGACTTGTGGAATAGAGGGACTTAAATTCTCATCAGAATCATGACAAAAGTTTGGGGCTTTACATGGGATTTTTGAGTCTGGACAAGGTGAGTCTGGAAGTGGAGTAAGGTTAATTGGTAAAAGATTAAAGGACAAATACAAGGCGTTTCTCATAATTGTAAAAATATTATGGTATTGGAAGCTTTAAAACTATCCTGCAGACGGAGGAATTATCCCTGACTGATTTACAAAACTTAATGAAGGCTAAGATCATGGAACTGGCAAACGAATTGAAGGTGGAAGTTCCAGAAACAGTTAAGAAGGAAAAGGTAACTATAATATTAATTACAGCTAGAGTTCACTGGTGGCATTTGTTCCTAAACCAGATGGGCTGACTAGATTCTGCACAGACCACAGGAAAGTAAATGCAGCAATGAAAGAGGTTCATACACAATTTCTTAGTTAGAGGATTGTGTCAATTGGATTGGCAGTGCTTCATTCCTTATGATGACTGATCCATCAAAGGGATGCTGGAAATTACTATCAATGTCAGAGATGGCAATATTTGTTATACCATTTGCATTTTAAAATGTCCAAGCTGCATTCCAAACACGTATGAATCAAATCATAGCCAATGTGCCTAATTGTGTTGATATCAGCTGGGAAGAACATTTACAATGATTATTTAGGCCCCTTGGTTAACCCCTTTTTCTTTTATATAATATATGCGATGTCTACTACTGTGAAGACAGTCAGAAAATGTTTGTTCTACATTTCTGAATTCCCCATGATAATCTCTCCCATTTCTGTCTCAAAGGGACAAACATTAAGTTTGGCTACTCTCAATCTTTTCAAATACTTGTAAAAGCTATTTTTTTCTTTGAAAAATTCATTCATGGGATATGGGCATTGCTTGGTAAGCCATCATTTATTCCCCTTCCCTACTCACCCAGAGCTTTTAAGAGTCGATTACATTTTCTGGGCCTGGAGTACCATGTAAGCCAGACCAGGTAAAGATGGCAGACTTCCTTCCCACAATAGCATTAATGAACTAGGTAGGGATCTTTTTTATATAAAATGACAATGAATAGTGGTTACATGCTTGGCATTGTACTAACTTTATATCCCATACTTTTATTGAGCTCAAATTTAACCACTTGCCTTGGTGGGATTCAAACCCATGTTCTCAGAACATTATCGGAGTGTTCTGGATTATTAGCCCAGTAATGTTACCACTACACCACCTCCCCCAACAATCTTAGCTTCCCAGTTAATTTACTTTTACTTTTTAAATCAACATTTTTATCAGTTTTTGCTAGTTTTAAAAATGTTTGCAATCCTCAGGTTTACTGCTATTCTCTGCAGCGTTAGGTTTTCTATTCTAATCTAATTCCATGCTCATAAGCCACTGACGGTTCTTTCTGGCTGACTTGTGTTTAATAGAACAGATTTGTATTGAACATTTTTGAATCATTGAACAGAATATGTGTTCCTGGGCCCTGTGCATCCTCCTCACAATAGATGTTCCCTGGGCATTGGGTTAGGAAAATCATTAAACAGAACTTAATCTAAGAGTTAATTATTATGAATTGGAAACTCATCTGTTTATAAATCAACTCAGCACTTGAATAATTTGTAAACAAATTACTCACAGCTGTACATCAATATTTGGCAATTATGTTTTAATTTCCTCACAGAGATACGTTGGCCATCTCATTAACTAATGCAGCCACAAGTATCTTTTCTGGATTTGTCATTTTCTCTGCGTTTGGCTACATGTCCCATATGATTAATATCCCTATCGATGATATTGCTGTAGATGGTAAGTGATTGCATTGATGCAAAATGGTGCTGCAATGATTAGGAATCGGGACTGAATTTGTGGGTAATTTCAGGACCTAAGGTGGACATAACCCAAAAAGATAGTATTGCCAATGTGTCATTGTTCCTGATGCTGGCCATTTTTCAAAAAATGTGTTCAGGACCAATATGGGCACCTGACCCCATCAGGTGGCTAGCCAATTAGACTCGTTGCGAGCCTTATAAAACTTGCAGAGTTTTCTGGTTGATCTCTCATTTCCAGCCATTAAAAGGACAACCTTAAATCCTTCAGAGGCAGGCTGTATAGCTCTCCAAGCCCATCCTCACCACAGTGGCGGCTTGGATGCTCTCTCTAGGTTTTAATTGAAACTTGTAAACATATTGATGAAGGTGCATTCTCATTGAAGTGGCCTCTCGGTTGCACTTTTAGATTCTACAGCTGCTCTTCTGAAGCTGGAGAGCCAGCTTTGAGAGCCAGCCTGTTGCCCTTCATTGTACAGTGAACACATCTCCATGCCAATTAAAGATGAGCCAGGCTCAAAATCGGAGTGAGCCTCTGTTTCACACCAGAGTGTGGTCGGGACTTGATAAAGCATTTCCCACTCCTGTCTCTCACCTCACGAGTGAAAATGTAGTCCCTGAATTCCTGTGATGTACTTCAACCTGATTGCAGAAAGACATTTATATCAAGTAAATGTGATCCTATCTCTTATATTTTCAGCAACCATGCTTGTAGGGTTAAGTAATGCTGCATGATGGTTTCTCTAAGAGGAGAATATTGCAGCATAGATAGCATTAAAAACAATGGTGTCAGTGTTTCTAGCAAAATGGTCATCACCTTCAAGGATCCCGCGTTTGAATTGAAACTGGTTGTCTCTATCTAATGAGTTGATCTTGAGAGAAGGAACAGTAGAAATTCAATACAGTTGGCCCCTGTGTCCATGAGTAAGAAGGAAGAAATTCAACTAACTCTTGTCATTGATTCCGAATCCTTTTGTATTTATGTGGTTTGTGGGTGGAGAGAGGGATAGACCTCTCTGAGAAATCTCTCCTATCAAGTAGTTTGGCAGCCGCTTCACTTATGATAAATAGCTGTTGAAAAATTGTTGAAAAGAAATCAGGATTTTCGATAGAAAAGGAGCAAATGACAAAATAAAAATTACAGCAAAAGATAACATATTTTTGAGGCAAGCATTCACTTCTTTATACTGCTAACATGTGATATTATAACTCTTAAAATCATTCTTATTCTTGTAGGCCCAGGATTGGTGTTTGTGGTTTACCCAGAAGCCTTTGTTACGATGCCAGTTTCTCCTCTGTGGGCAGTTCTGTTTTTCATTATGTTACTGTTTTTGGGGCTTGATAGTGAGGTAAGAGTCATTGTAAAATTTTGGTAATGTCATGTTATGGTGATATTTGTGGAAAGATGCTGCGTAGCAGGGAAGTGTAAGTTTATTTTCTGTTTTATTATTTTTTTAACCAAAAATGCAATGACTGCTTAAAAAAGAAAGCTGCACTGTGAACCATTCTAATTCAGTCAAAAGTTCTGAAGAAAATACCTGTAATACTGGCATATAGATGATACCCAAAATTCCCCTGAGACATACAATTTCATGTAATTTTTCAAACGCATCCTTACTTTAAATATATTTAAGTACAGAGGGTTGATTTACTGAAGCCACAGTTGTAATTGAGCTCAAAATGAAATTGTGGCTCACTTTTGATTGATGGATTGTATTATAAATGAGACAGCTCAGCTGGCACAAGCAGTTCACACATTCAGCTCAAGAGCTGAAACAAATTTATTGAATCAATCATAAAGGAACAAGCAATCTAACATGATGTGATTGAATGTTTACAATAGCGTATATTTTAACCAAACCCTCAAGTAACCAAAATAAGATTATAATGTAATCATGCACCGCTCTTTCTAGGACTGTTGACTCTGAGGTCTGTGCTCACCCAGCATTTGAGAAGTAATCACCCAAACTTGAAGATTCATGGCAAGCAGATAGCGACCATCACTCGGGTGTTCAATGAGAATCCCATTGCCAGGAGAAAAATTCAAAGTATAGCCAGCCTCAACTGTCCTCTTGTGCCACAATTGAATAGTGCTTGGGCTATTTTTCAACCGTTCAACTAATCTTAATAACATTTGTACCTCTGGATCAGAAAGGTAGAGATTCAAGTTCCACTGTGGGACATAATCTAAAGTGCCACTTCAATGCATTAATGGAGGTACTACCACATGGATCAGATGTTAAGCCCCAAGTCCCTGACCATTCCTGCAGGTGTCTCAAAAAATCCCACTAGGACAATTGAAGGAGTGTAGGGAAGCTTTACAATTGCGATGCCTAATGTTTATGACTCTATTAAAATCAATTATTTAGAAATTTATTTCATTGCTTACCATAGGATCAAATAATCTGCTCTGTAACAACAATGATTAAACTTTAAAAGTACTTGCTCAACAGCAAAGCAAATTCTGAAGATTCTAAAGTTGTGAAAGATGTTATCTTTTGTTTAATTCTAGGAATTGATTTAAATTTTTAAAAATGACTGATAACTGCATAGCGATGTTTCAGGCATAATAATCCATATCTTTTGAGTTTTTCAAATTGTCTCCTCATTAGATTCCTGTCTCCCATTCTCAAAGGAACATCCAATGTATGGCTGCCTTCTTTAAGAAAATTCTAACTGGCTTTGATTCAATTCTTTTATACCATACATTTGAAGAGAGTCTCCTGAGTAAACTGGATTTTAAATAACTAGCGAGTCAAATTTTAAAACCCTGCCAAAATAAAGTACCAAACCAATCTTGATCTGTTGGTCTTAAATTTATTAAATGTTCTCTTAATGTTAGATAATAATTAATTAGGGTGTTTTCATATCCTCAGCTACACCCTTCAGTTCACATGTTGAATGCCCTGATACACTCTCTATACCGTATCTCTGATACCAGGGAGGCTAAGAACATGTGCAACACTGTATGAGGATGGATTTTAACAGGTTGCTAAATTATCTGTGCAATCAATAAATGTGAATGTGATAAATACTAAAAATACACAATTTCTGTCATATCCACCATTCAATTTACTCAGTTTTATTTTGGAGCGGTTTTTGTTCCCAAGCAAAAGTTTTTCCAGTGACCTTTCACTTCCTGATTCAGATGCTAATTGTACCAGCCACTAGTTTTTAATTCTTCCAAGTTTTTAATAAAAGCACAACCAGAATGTGCATTTTTTGTCTTTGCACTTAATTATATATGACTTGAGTATCCTTGTGTTGCCAATTTAATTCAAATAATAAATTCACAAAATGACATGCCCCAGTTTGACATCATAATCTTCTCTCATCTAAGGTAAATTATTTTAGCTCAAGTTGTTTACATGTTGTGGCCTGTGTGATAGAAAAACACCATTTAAAAGAAAAGCTGCACAGCAAGAAAGAAAATCAGCAGAACTCTGATCAATAGCAGTAAACTGAGGCAGTAAACCTAAACCACACAGAAGAGTGACAGCATGTTTTAATAACTTACAAATACTGGAACTATACAGCTGGCTCACCGTCTAAAATGACAAGGGATAGATTGTCTTTGTTAACAGGCCCTTTATAAGAAATTGCTGGAATCCTGTGTGTGTTTACATCTTAAACAGTGATTCTGCATCTTTTATTTTTTGAGAATGAGGTTATATATTCTATAATTTACTGAATATTTAACTGAATGAGTGATATGTTTGGAATTTTATTTAAGGAGCGTGTACACGTTCCCTAAGAAGTCAAAAATTCATTTAAAATAAATGTATGCAATTGCTTCACACTTTTCTTATATTTCTCTCTTATTTTACAGTTTGCAATGGTTGAAGTGATGGTGACAAGTCTATTGGATGCCAATCAGGGTTGGCTACTGAAATATTTGAAAAGGAAAGAATTTGTGGTGTTGGGTGTCTGTGTTGTAGCCTTTATGTTAGGAATTCCAAATGTCACACAGGTATATCTCTCACAAATGTCAATCAAGCATAGATGTACAAACTTACATAATATCTGAATATCAGCTGAGGGTACTTTATTACAATTGAACTACCATTATTACTCACATTATTCATGTTGTTTCAGCATTTTCCAGTTTGGATCAATTTTATTTGACTTTAAACATAAGTTAGATGTATTGCATAATACATAGAACATAAAACAGTACAGCACAAGAACAGGCTCTTCGGCCTCCATGTCTGCGCTGACTATGAAGCCATTCTAAACTAATCCCATGTGCTTGCACACGGTCTATATCCCTCTATTCTCTGCCCATTCATGTGTCTGTCTAAGTGGTCTTAAACATTGCTATCATCTCTACTTCTACTAACTCCCCTGACAGTGTGTTTCAAGCACCTGCCACCATTAAAAAACACTTTCCTCACACATCTCCTTTAAACTTTTCCCCTCGCACCTTAACCCTATGCCCCTATTTCCATCCAGAGAAAAAAAGACTCTGACTATCCATGTCTCTCATAGTATATTTTTATCAGGTTGTCCCTCAGCTTCCAACGCTCTCGTGAAAGTAATTCAAGTTTTGTCCAACCTTTCCGTATAGCTAATATTGCAATCCGGGCAACATCCTGGTAAACCTCTTTAACACCCTCTCCAAAGCCTCCACATCCTTCTTACAGTGTGGACCAGAATTGCACACAGTACTCCAAATGTGGCTTAGCTAAAGTCTTACACAGCTGCAACATGACTTGCCAACTTTTATATTCACTGCTCCAACCAATGAAGGCAAACATGCCGTATTTATTCTTTCCCACCTTATCCACTTATATTGACCTTTTCAGGGAGCTATGGACTTGTACCTCAAGATCTCTCTGTACATCAATGCTTGTAAGGGTCTTGCCATTTATTGTGTACCTTCCTCTTGCACTTGACCTCCCAAAATGCATCTTTTCACACTTGTCCCCTCCACAATTACCCTTTGTCTTCTATGACCAAGCCAATTTTGTATCCAATTTACCAATTCACTGTGTCCCAAATGACTTAAATGTCTGGACCAGCCTACCTTGTCAAATGTTTTATTAAAGTCCATGTGGACAATATCTACTGCCCTACCCTCATCAATCATCTTTGTCACTTCCTCAAAAATACTCAATCAAATTTGAGAGACAAGGCCTGCCTCTCACAAAACCATGCTGACCGTCTATCTAATAAATCTATTCTTTTCCAAATGCAAGTAAATCCTGTCCCTAAGAATATTCCCAATAGTTTCCCTATCATTGATGTAAGGCTCACCGGCCCATAATTTTCTGGATTATCCCTGTTACCCTTCTTAAGCAAAGGAACGCATCGACTATTCTCCAGTCTTCTGGGACCTCACCTGTGGCTAAAGAGGAGGCAGAAATCTCTGTCAAGATCCCAGCAATCTCCTGTCTTGCCTTCCTCAGTATCTTTGGATAGATTCATCAGGCCCTGGGGACTTTTCTCCTTTAATGTTTTTCAAGTCATCCAACACCACCTCCTTCTTAATATCGACCTGCCGTACAATATCAACATACCCCTCCCTAATCTTACCATCATCTACATCCTTCTACTTGTTGAATACAGATGCAAAGTACTTATTAAAGACCTCACCCACTTCTTCTGGCACATAAATTCCCTCCTTTGTCCTTGAGTTGACCTACCCTTTCCCTAGCTACCCTCTCATTCCTAATATTCAAATACAATGTCTCCTTACTGCTACTTGTGAAGAATATTCTGTGACCCCTTTTAGCCCTTCTAATTCGTTGTTGAAGTTCTTTTCTGCTCCTTTTACATTCCTCACAGTCTTTGTCCGATTTTAGGCTCCTAAACATTGAATATGCTTCCTTTTTTGTCTTTTTGACTAAACTTTCAATATCTCATGTCATTCCAGAACTTCCAAATCTTGCCATCTTTATCCTAAATCCTCAGAGGAACATGCTGCTCCTGAAACTCTGATCAACTGGCTTTTAAAAGATTCTTACATGTCAGATGTGCATTTACCCTCAAACAGCCACTCCCAATCTAATTTCTCCAGCTCTTGCCTAGTTCTTATATAATTATCCTTCCCCCCCATTTAATATTTTCACCAGAGGATCAGTCTTATCCTGATCCATAACTGTCTTAAAGCTTACAGAATTATGATCACTGTTCCCAAAATGCTTCCCCACTGAAACTTTGATCACCTGGCTAGATTCATTCCCCAATACAAGGTCTAGTACTTTGCCTAGTTGGACTATCTACATATTGTTTCAAGAAACCTTCCTGGCACTGAGAGTCCCAGTCAATGTTGGAGAAATTAAAATGACCCATCCACAATAACCCTGTTTTTATATCTTCCAATGCTCTGCTTACATATCTGTTCCTTCATCTCCTGTTGGCTTTTGGGATGTCTATAATATAACACCATAACAGTGATTGCACCTTTCTTATTCCTGAGCTCTACCCATATGGTCCGCTGGATGAGCCCTCCAAGATGTCCTCTCTTAGTGCAGTAGTGACATTCTCCTTAATCAGTAACACAATTCCCCCACCCCTTTTACATCCTTCTCTATCATACCTGAAATATCTAAATCTCAGAAAGCTGAACTGCCAGTCCTGTCCTCTCTCAACTAAGTTTCTGTAATGGCTATAACATCTAGTGTCCCATTTACTAATCTAGGCTCTAAGCTCATCTGCCCTACCTGTTATATTCCTTGCACTAAAATAAATGTGCTTCAGATCGCTAGACTCGATGTGTTCATTAACCAGGCCCTGCCTGTTCTTCCTATTAGATTTGACTTAACAGTGACCTTCTCCTAAATCACTCCACATGCTGACCTACTGCTCTGGTTCCCACTCCCCTGCCACATGAGTTTAAACTTTCCCGAGTGACACTAGCAAACCTCTCTGCCAGGATGTTGCTGCCCCTCCAGTTTAGGTGAAACCTTCTTGTACAGGTCCCTTCCGCCCTGGAAGAGACCCCAATGATCCAGATATCTGAAGCTCTCCCTTCTATACCAGCTCTTTGGCCACCCATTCATCTGGATGATCTTGCTAGTTCTAAACTCACTGGCATGTAGCACAGGGAGTAATCCCAAGATTACAACCTAGAGGTCCTGCTTTCCAACTTCATACCTAAATCCATGAGCTTCCTTTGCAGGACCTCATCTCTCTTTCTGCCTCTGTTGCTGGTACCAAAATGGACCACAACCTCTGGCTGCTCACGCCCACCACCACCGCCTTCCCTTTCAGAATATCTTGTTCCCCGTCAGAGACATGCTTGACTCTGGCACCAGGGAGACAACGCACTATCCTGGAATCTCACTTGCAGCCACAAAACCTCCCATCTATGCCCCTTACTGTTGAGTTCCCAATCACTGCTGCTCATCTACACTGTGACCCTCCCTGCTGTACAACAGTGCCAGTAGGTGTCACTGATCTGGCTGTAGCTGCTACTTTCCTTTGAGAGGGTATTCCCCACACCCAATAGTATTCAAAACAGTATACCTGTTTGAGAAGGGAATGGCCACAGGGGACTCCTGCACTGCCTGCCCATGCTTACTCATCTTCCTGGTGGTCACCCACCTCTTCGCTGTCTGTGTAGCCCTTACTGGTGGTGTGACCAGCTCACTAAACGTGCTAACCACGACATTCCCAGCTTCATGAATGCTCCGTAGTGAGTCCACAGCTCCAGGAGCTTCATGAAGCAAATCGGGAGCTGCAGCTAAACACACTTCCTGTGTATGTGGTCACCATGGAAACTGAAAGAGCCATATATTGCAGGAGGAGGATTCCATGGGGCCTTGTTCACCTGCCATTTCGAACCTTATCAACTAAATCAGCCTCATCAACGTCAGAATCTTCTGTTACAGACTAGGGCGGCACGGTGACTCAGTGGTTAGCATTGCTGCCTCACAGCGTCACCCTTGGGTGACTGCCTGTGTGGAGTTTGCGCATTCTCCCCGTGTCTGCATGGGTTTCCTCCGGGTGCTCCGGCTTCCTCCCACATTCCAAAGATGTGCAGGTTAGGTGGGTTGGCCACGCTAAATTGCCCAGAGTGTTCAGGAATGTGAAAATTAGATAAGTTATACGGGATGGGTCTGGGTGGGATGCTCTGAGGGTCAGTGTGGATTTGTTGGGCCGCAGGGCCTGTTTCCACACTGTATGGATTCTAAGTCACATGAAATCAGGTTATAGTCCAACAGCTTTATTTAAAGTCACCAGCTTTCGGAGTGCAGTTCCTTCGTCAGTTAAAGGACTATAACCTGTTGTCGCGTGATTTCTGACTTTGTCCAACACCTGCATCTCCACATCATGTCAACCTTATCAGTAAGAAACAATAGTCCAGGAACTGATTACACAACCTTACCCACTCATCGCCTGATCAGATTTCTCACTCTCACTCTCTATTCCTACAAACCAAGAAATGAGGACTTTACACTACATCTCCCCCTGGATATGACTCACTCAGTCTCTAGACTTGGTTCCCCAAGCACCCAATCGTACCTCATTTTTTTGAATAGTCATGTCATTGCTGGAGCTCTGTCCCTGGATTCATGTCCCACTCACCCCCACATTCACTCTGCTCCCCTTCACCCTCCCCCATTCACCCCCACATTCACTCTACTCCCCTTCCCCCTCCCCCGCTCACCCCCACATTCACTCTGCTCCCCTTCCCCCTCCCTCACTCACCCCCACATTCACTCTGCCCCCCTTCTCCTCCCCCATTCACCCCCACATTCACTCTGCTCCCTTTCCTCCTCCCCCATTCACCCCCACATTCACTCTCCTTCCCTCCCCCTCCTACATTCACTCTGCTCCCTCTCCCCCTCCCCAATTCACCTCAGTGTCACCCCTCTCGCCCTCCCCTCCCCCATTTACCCCCAGTGTCCCTCCTCTCCCTCTCTCCCATTCATCCCCAGGGTCATTACCCTACCTCTCCATCTCTCTCTCCACCATTTAACCCCAGGGTCACTCCACTTCCTCTCCATCTCTCTCTCTCTCTCTCTCTCCACCATTCACCCCCAGGGTCCCTCCCCTCCTTCTCCCTCTCCCTCTCCCACTACTTCATCCCCAGGATCAGTCTGTTCCTCCCCTGCTGCTGGTGCTGTTCCAACTGCAGACTGAATCTTACAGATTCATCTGCATTATCCACAGCTGAGATGATATAATTTTAAAACCACACTGGGAATTTAACATTGAAAATTAAAATAAAATACTACAGATGCTGGAAATCTCAAATAGAGGCAGAAAGTGCTGAAAATACTCAGCAGGTCTGACTGCATCTGTGGAGAGAGAGAAACAGGGTTAGCATTTCAAGTCTGAAGGCATCTCCAGAACCAGTAAGTGCCTTTACCTTTAACATCAGTCTGAATCTAATGTCATTACAGGGTGGAATATATGTTTTCCAGCTCCTAGACCACTATACTGCTCAAGTATCCATTGTTTTCTTGGCTTTTTTTGAGATTGTTGCTGTTTGCTGTATTTACGGTACGTCTACTGTGTTTCTTATAATTAACTTAATTCAATACGTCAATTAAGTAAATCTGTAGCTTTTTTAAAATGATTGGTTGTATTAAATAAATAGAGGTAGGACTAAGCTTTCAATATATTAAATATTGAATGTGACTTTTTCCAAATTAAAAGAATCCTAGCTGCATTTAATAAAAAAAAGTGAATAACACTGAGCTTCTCCCACATCATAAGACACACCAGATCCATTAAACAGACAAATACAAATCAAAATTAATTGGAATGCCAAGTATTCATTTAGACTAATCAAAATCTGGTATGGAAGGACGTGTTTTGAACAATGTTTCTCACAGCAACAATGGCACAGAAAGTCAGCAGGTACATTAGTCCCACAAAAACACCATGCTCTTCCTCTCATCATGCGAAACTAACACCGATGCAATAATTTGATCATGTCCAGACGCTCTGAGTTATACAGGGAGGCACCTCCTGCACCTGTGCACAGCTAGCTTAAGGAAGGATACACCAGTCAGTACGGGCTTGGATTCAAGTCCTACCTGTTCCAGAGGTGTGTTATAGCATACCTATGCAGGTAAGTCAAAAATATCTACACCAGGCAGTTCTCAGTCCTGGCCAAGATTAAACTTGCATATATGGCCACCAAACAAAGACCACATCAACCCCAGCAGTAATGCTGTACATGGACAATAGCCTGCTGACATTCGCTGTTGAGACACACAGGTCCATTTAAGGAAACTGTACAAGGCTTTCTGTGCACCTGGACATGTTATCAGGGCTTGCCCTCACTCACTTTGCAAGTCTTTACTTCAAATCAGTCTGAAATAAAGAAAAGGATGACCTGCATTCATGTAATACATTCCAAATTTTCAGAATGCCCCAAACACTTTACAACTAATTAACTGTTTTTCTTGTCAAAATCTAGGAAGCACAACAACCAATTTGCTCACAGCAAATTCCCACAAACAGATATGTGATGGTGGCCAGATAATTTATTTATTGTGACTTTAATTGAGGGATAGGTTTCAGGTACAATAATCAGAGTAACTCCACTGCTGTTTTTTGTTTGAAACAAGGCAATGGAATTCTCAGTAATAGTCTGAAATGGCCAATAGTGACTCGGCCTCTTTGAACTTTGGTAACTATGAGGATGCAGACCTGCCTCTGCTGCTGCTTTGGTGGATCAGCCTAGATTTCTATTCCCAAGTCTCTAGAGTTTTGCCAGCCTGACCCTTTTAAAGATATATCACCTGAAATTGCTTAGGCTCTTTTCACATGATTGCCGCTGTGAACGAACATTTACAGAAATAAGCTCAGACATCTTCAGCTACTCCATCATAGGTTCAGACATGAGGGTGTTCGCTGATGATTGCACAATGTTCAGAACCTTTTATAGCTCCTCAAAAACTGAGGGGCTGCATAGCCTACTCATGCTCCTAAGCCTTATTATTGTTTTAGTGTAACAGTCAGTGTCTAATTGCAGCAATAGATGCACCTTATTCAGGCTTCAGCTAAATCGGGCAAGTCATATAAATGCTGTGGCTACAAGAGTAGGTCAGAAGCTAGGAATACTGCAGCTAGTAATCCACCTCCTATCTCCCCAGAATCTGTGCACCTTCTAATAGTCACAATTTGGGAGTGTGATGGAATACTCTCCTTTTGCCTGCATGAGTGCTGCCCCAACAGCCCTCCAGGAGTTCAATACCATCCAGGGCAAAGCAACCCACTTAATCAGTACCCTCCACTACCTTAAACGTACACACCCTCCACCACTGATGTACATTGGCAGCAATGTGTACCATTTACAAGGTGCAGTAACTCACCAGTTTGTTTCAACAGCACTTTCTAAACCTGTAAGCTCCACCACCTAGAAGGGCAGCAGATAACTGGGAACACCACCACACGTGAGAATCCTCCAAATCATTCACCATCCTCACTCAGAAATATATCACCGTCGCTGGATCAAATTCCTGGAACTCCCTCCATATCAGCAATGGACCTGTGGTGTACCCACACCACATAGACTGCAGCACCTCCTCAAGGGTAATTAGGATAGGCAAGAAATATTGGCCCAACCAGTGATACCTAGATCCCATAAGAGAACCAAATAAAAACTCAAGCTAAATGTGGATCCTCTATTGGCCTGATTCAGTTCATTTTCAATCAAAAATTTGATTCTGCACTTGATCTATTGTTTAAGCATTCACGCCTGTTTCTGAACTGAATCTGATTTTCTATGATAAATGGTAAAGAGGAAAATGTATAATTTACCTGACAAAAATCTCACTCACTTTGGGGATCTATTGCACTTACTAAAATGTCAAAAACTAGTTTTGCCATTACTCCTTATTGAAACAGACTCATTTAAGAGTGACTGACGTTAAAAATACAAAGAAGCTTTACTTTAGCAGGCCGTTGTGATTTCGAAATCTCAGACGTTACATAAGTTATTGCCCCACTCAGTGTTTCAGCAAGAGTTTACAATGATCATTTTATTTTTTAAAGGTCTCCCTCGATTGTCACAGAACATTGAGGAAATGCTGGGAAAAAAGCCAAATATTTACTTGCGTGTGTGTTGGCTGCTGTCGCCTGTACTGATACTTGTATGTATCCATCGTCTAGCTCACCTCTTTCAAACAAACTACTGTGAATCACTGAGCCCTGGGCAAATTTGACTTTGTTTACGAAACTTATTGAAGGTTATAATATGTTAAAACTTTGCTTTCCATTGAACTGTTTAAATTCACACTGAGTTTAATTTGTATTCACTGCAATGCTCAACAAGGTTTTTTTTCATGTATATTTATTAAGGGAAAAAAGGCACCAATTTTCTTTATAGATAGGACAGCTATAAGGATTGATTCATAGCACTTAACTGCACAGTTACCATCCCCTTTAATAATGATGCTCTGTGTATAAATGCTGTGTTGCCCTTCAAGAATCCATTAGTTATTCCAGCAGACTCTGAATCCAGCAGCAGTACGATTAGGGCAATTTACCTCAGTGAATTCTGCCCATAATAAGTACTTAAAAGTATTGCTCATTCATTGACTATTCAAGTGTGCATAATTACCTTCTCCCCCTCCCAGACTTTCCACTGTTGTTAATAGAACACAAACATGTATTTATCTTTGGCTGTTTTGAATATTCTGTTTTGTTTCTCTTATTCAGATTATTATGGTGTTTGTTATCATTGACTTTGAGCCTGTGCGTTATGGCACCTACCAGTACCCAGAGTGGGGTCAAGGTCTTGGTTGGGTCATTGCTTTCGCTTCGCTCATTTGGATCCCTGTTGGAGTCATCCATACGTTACTCACATTGAAAGGCTCATTCCACGAGGTACATTCTCCTTATCCTGTGGAGTAAACATCAATACATCTTCATCAAATGGAAGTTTGAGCAGCCAGCAGTGATATCCAGCCAGTTCTGTCAAACTTACTCATTAATACGCACAAGCAAACCATAATAAGAAGTAACCTATTGCCTTAGACAGCAGGGGCCAATAGATATAGTGCACAGAGGCAGTTAGTAGCAGCTCTAGATAACACAGTGTGGAGCTGGAGGAACACAGCAAGCCAGGTAGCATCAGAGGAGCAGGAAAGTTGATGTTTCGGGTCGGGAACAGAAACATCAACTTTCCTGCTCCTCCGATGATGCCTGGCCTGCTGTGTTCCTCCAACTCCACACTGTGTTATCTCTGACTCCAGCATCGGCAGATCTTACTATCTCCTAGTAGCAGCTTTTTCCTTGCCAACAGTGATGAGAACATTGTTCTCAATCCCATTTTCTACTCTCTGGCAAACTGTTATATCTTATAAGTTTTACCTAGTGTCACTCATTCCTTCACCACACATCAGGAGACAATGTTGACCGCAGCTGACACCCCACCAAGATACACAAATCAGATTTGGAATTGAGGTTTTAGTGCATCGCTTTCCCCACTCTGCCATTTTACAAGCTGTGTAAATAAATTCAAGCATTTAAACTGAGCAAGAAATTACTTATGTCTGACATTTTTTAATAGGCTCAGACAAAAGATGAAGCTGTACTGAATACATATCAAACACAGGGAGGATCTAGTTCTGGAGGAAAGCAGCCACATCCCACATATACATGGTTGGGAATGGTTCCTCCTGGACTTGTTAATATCCTAAAGTGAGACTCATTTACTTCATCTCCAAAGCAGGAGAGAAGTTTTGTTTTACTCACTTGTGGCTCATAGGCATCAATGGTTAGGAGAGCACTTTTTTTCTATCCCTAGCTGTCCTTGAGAAGGTGGTGGTGAGCTGCCTTCTTTAACCGCTGCAGTCCACAAGCTATGGGTTGACCCACAATGTCCTTAGGGAGGGATTTTCCAGGATTTGACCTGGCAACAGTGAAGCAAAATATTTGCAAGTCAGAATACTGTGTGCTATGGAGGGGAACTTGCAGGTGGTGGTGTTCCCATGTATCTGCTATTCTTACCCTTCTAGATGGAAGTGGCCGTGGGTTTGGAAGGTGCTAGCTAAGGATCTTTGGTGAATTTCCGCATTGCATCTTGTACATAGCGCACACTGCTGCTACTGAGCTTCGGTGGTGGAGGGAATGGATGTTTGTGGATATTGTGCCAATTAAGTGTGCTGCTTTGTCCTGGATGGTGTCAAGCTTCTGGAGTGTTATTGGAGCTACACTCATCCAGGCAAGTGGGGAGTATTCCATCATACTCCTAACTTGTGCCCTGTAGATGAGGGACAGGCTCTGGGCAGTTAGGAGATGAGCTACTCACTGCAGTATTCCGAGTCTCTGACCTGCTCTTGTAGCCACTTTGTTTAGTTGGTGAGTCAAATTCATTTTCTGGTCAACATAAACCCTAAGATGTTAATAGTGGGGGATTCAGTGATGGTAACACCATTGAATGTCAAGGAGCAATGTTTAGATTGTCTGTAATTGGAGATGGCAGAAAATGGCAGGAGGCAGGAAGATGTCTGGGACCAAATTGACTGGGGTCAGGGGACTGAGAAGGAGATTAAATATTTAAAATAAATAGTAACCAGTCGTCTCTTGTCTACCACTAATAATTAGATATGAGTAAGACACCGTGTAAAAAAATGGAGAATGGCAGTGAGCCCGCTCAATCAACCCTTACCTAAGCCATACACTGGCAGGGCTGGCTGATGCCACAGGTATAACATAGTAATTTCATCCTGCATGAAAGGAAATGTTACATTTATCTAGAAAGGCCTCTTCAGATTTCACATCTAGCTGTAGCTGACAGGTCTGGGTCTCTGGATTAAGACAAAGTCAGTCGTATTGGCATCAGTGCAATTGCATTCATTTATGTGATCCAGCTTGATCCAAGCAAATGCCTCACACTTCTGAATAAATAGGCATTTAAAATTGGATTAAATAGTGTCCAAAAGCCTGCTTTTAACTTTGTGTAAGTACATAGATTTGAATTAGTTAAAAAAAAGACCACACTTGCATGTGAGATATGGGGGAGGTGGGGTGTTGGGGGCAGTTAACATTTCTCACACTCTGTGCACCTGTCAGGTCAAATATATCAGCTCATACTTGTAGTCATTAAGATTCAATATAGCGCAAACTGATGAAGCATTTCAGACACAGAGCACTGTGTCATCTGTAGCTGTTAGTCTGTTGTTTCCTGTGGGTGGGGCCGGGAGCGTGGTGTTGGTTGAGAACTCTAATGGGTAATTTGGCTGAAGTTGAATATAACTTTAGCAGCTCCTCACTGGGCTTTAACTTTGAAATTAGCCAACTCCATGCCTGAAAATCACAGCCTGAAAGGGAAAGGTTGGAGTAGCCGGTGAGAATCCAATACAGTATTCAGGATGTATAGGTCCTAAATCTATCTTAACAGCAATTAGAAACATCTTATGTCTCCATGATCTAAGATTGATCTCTTTAAGTTTGCATTTGCACTAAGAGATTGGGCAGAATCTTCTGAGGCCCTGAATGATATGTTTATGGTGGGAAATTTGCGAAAAGTTGTGGGAGATGTTGACTGAAGATCTTGATGTGGAAAGGCAAAAGGTCACATTTTCTAACTGAGTCCCTGACATCGAGATGAATTGTTGCCATTGTGTAGCAAGAGGCCTATTCATAGATATCATTGCTCATTACTACCTAATCTCAGCTCAGTACTCAGCTCCCTTTCTCTCACCCAGCCACCTGGGACACAACCCAGGATGTCTGTCCTGGTTATTGGCAGAGATCAGTTAAGGGGACATGTAAGACATTGTGCCATGTTTATCTCACTTTGACACCATGTGCCAGTCAGATATGCACAAGTACACTGCTTGTGCTGCAAGAAAAATGACCATATCTCAAAGTCTAAGGGAAGCAGTCCGCAGTCAAGTGCAGGGAGATATCTTTAGGTCAGGGGCCTCATGCAGTAAGCCAGGACACCTGACATCCCCTCATCCCCCATTGCCTTACAATTGGTGTTGAGCACCGATGACGAGAGCAATGGAATGGCGCTACGTCCAGCAGATCCAGAGACTGCTGAACTTGGCTCTCCATGGCAGTGCCAACCTGTCCATGGAGAATGCCAGTCACTCACATGCCTGAGGCAGCAGGTACCCAACCACATTAGTTACTGCCATCCTGCAGCCTTTGTGTCAGCTTGCCCGATGCCCGCCCCTCTATTTCTGCTTGCTCATGTTGATGATGTCCTAAATGGCCGACACATCCTCTTGCCTGGAATCAGGCAGGTGCCTGGTTTCTGGCAGTCCTTCCCTTGCCCATGAGCTGGGATGTTTCCCCTTCAATCCGATGAGGAGACGTGGCAATGACATGCTCACCACAACCTGCTAATGGAGCCAACCGATGAGCTGAGGACCTGAGCTGGTGGAGGCAGCTATCCTAGTGCAACCTCTGAGCTTGTGAAGGAGGCATCTTGTGGGACCTCTGCCCTGCTGTGGTGGCAATGGGAGAGTAACACAACAATGAACAAGGCCCATTTCTCAGTTGCTGGAAAGTGGAGGTTTTGGCCTCCCCACAGGAATGGTCCTGGTCTTCACCTGCAAGGCCACGATTCTCTCCTCGTAGGGAGAGAGCAGCCAAATATCTGGCATGCCACCAGCCACCCTGGCTCCTTCAGCACTATAGCGGACTGTTAGCTCCTGGAATGAGACAAAGGGGGTGATTGACAGAGCTGAAAATGGCTGGCTCAGCTGTTAGTGCTGGTGCAGGTGGGGGAAAGGTGAGGAGCTATCCTGAGTGAGTGAGTAGGCAACATGGAGGCCATGCAAGGTTCGTGGAGTGGGAGCCAGAAGAGTGAGGGGAAGATGCAGCATGCAATAGTGAGAGTGGTAGAGCACGAGCCTTGGTGGAAGGTGGGTGCAGTGGCAACGATACAATGGGTGTGAGCTGTTGGAGAGATGGTGACACTTACCCTGGTGAGGCGGAAAACATCATTGACCTTCTGACATCTCTGGGTGCTTCTCCTCCTCCAGACCGTGGAGACCTGACTACGCTGGGTGGTAACCTCAGACCAGGCTGGCAGGGACTGGTGTCATGGCCTCCTCTTCTGGTCCTGGGGGAACCATCCCCTACACTACCACCTCCACCAGGATCTCCTGGGCCCTGCCCACAAAGTCAGACCCCATTCTCCCCCATGTCTGCTACATCCACAATGAAAGGCTCCAGATGTGCAGCTCAGCTCCGAACTACCAGCACTTCTGTATACAATCAGAGTGGAGGCACTACTGACCATTTATCGCCTATCCCTAAATGCCCAGAGGGAAGTTAACCCGCGTTGCTATGGATCTGGATTGATATGTAGGCCGGCTGGGTAAGGATGGCAGATTTCCTTCCCTAAAGGACATTTAGTGAACCATATGATTTTTATAACAATTGGCTTTAGATAATCGGCATGAGGCCAGCATTGATTTCTAGAATGTTTTCTTTTATTAACTTCAGGTTTCACCATCTACCATGATGGGATCCAAACCCACAACCCTGGAACATTGGGCTGGGCTTTTGGATTGCTTGTACAGTGACATCATCACCACTATGCCACTTGACAAGGTGCACTATGGCCTTTTTAAGATGGCACTAGCATGAGGGATCCTGGGATATCCCGGTAATGGTGAGTTCTTCTGGCCACAGTGAATGGGGGAGTCAAAGGGGCGCAGTTGGTGTTAATGAAGAAAGTCTGGGACAATAATGTGAGAAAAGTCACTAGGTCTCGCGGAGAGAAACCCACCATGAAAATCGACAAAAAACTAACATTTCGCCGATTTCTGGTATGACTCAGCTTGTGTCTGACTATAGAGACGAGGACTCACTGAATCCTCTTTTATCAGGTTTTAGTAACCAGGGAAAGGTACAAAATCCCT